CATGGGAATTCATCAACCATTTTTGGAAGCAATAACGAATGTTTAAGTTGGAATTGACCCCAAAGGACTATCCCAGAAACAAGTCGGACAAAACATCACCCGGCCCATAATTTTGGAGCAGGCAACAACCAATTGTTGAGGGAATTCAAGGGAAGGGAACTCACCCACCATACAATTTTGGGGCATAACCCAATTCTGAAGTTGGGAATTTTGAGGGTCCAGGAAAGCGATTTCACCTTGCTCCTTGGTTTCGTGCGTTGGGCGCCGGGTTCAACTCCCATTATTCTCCGAAGGCAGGGGTTCAAATCCCCCCAAAAGGTAGATTACTATTGCTGCTTTTTGGGACTGCCATTAAAATAAGGGTACCCCTTTTCAAACAAACAACTGGTCAATTTCGTGAACCGAGCGTCTTGCAAGCAGTTGGTGAGACCCTCCAGATTCAAGAAGGCTTTCGCTGGCGCGAAGCACAGCGCCAGCACAAGCAAAGAGACACCCATGGCTCTCAGAAACTCAGAACAGCGATTTCACCGATTCTCACATGGGCCAGATGTGTGAATGTGTGTGTGAATGTGTGTGTGAATGTGTGTGTGTGTGACGTCGCTACACTCTCCAGTCGCTTCGGCCAAGTTCGCTACGATACCAGGTTCTTGAGCAACACGAAACCATCGGAGCGGCGGCTTTCGCACAGGAAATGTTCCAAGCATCGCCCAAAGAAATCTTCTGCCTTCGGCCTTATCATGGCTTCAGACTGCGCCCTCAAAAGCAATGGACAAACGATTCTAGGGGTACCTTCCATTTCCATTCTTTCCAGGGATCCTTCTTTTCAGGAAACCATCAAACACCAAAGGAAACAGCTGGTTGTGAAAAGGACGATGGTTGAAAATAATGGAAAAGGAATCAACCCCTAGAACTTTGTCTTTGTCTGGACAAAGCTGATTTTTTTTGGAACCCAGGGGACTATGGAGCCAATGCTCGGGAAACCCCCCAAAAAAAAGATCCTCTGGCCGACTCGACAGAGCCTAAGGGAATCCACGCGGCCATCCCCTCGGTTTCGGTCGCAACGTGGACACCTCCAATGCGACTCAAATTCTCGCATGGCCTCAAAAAATCGCAACCAGCTGGGGAAACAATGTGGCTGTGGCTCAAAAAACCGGAATTCCAAAATGGCTTGCCCGATCGGTAAGTGGAAACATGGACCAGAACCTGCGGTTTGCCCCTCCTAATTTTGAGCCACACCCATATGGTGAATATGCTTGAAAATATCAAAAGCATAAGGGAAGGTTGGAAATAGTATTTGACACCAGATAGAATTATATGGTTGCAACCCGATGCGCGCCAGGCAAAGCATGTGCCTGGATTCTTCAGCAAATGATGAAAATGTGAGCCCTGAGGTACATCGTGACTCCAAGCATTCAGGCAACACTCGTGCCTTCAGGCCACTGTGTATGTGGCGTCCTTTTTGGAGGGTGCAACATTTTGGTTGGGTGGGTTCAAAGGGAGATCAAAGAAAAACAACCTCCCCCCCCCCCAAATGGGAATACCGCTATTTTTTGAGACACACCCAATATATTCATTGCCTGACAGAGTGACAAAACCTCATTGCCTCAGTTTTCAGTTTGGTGAATGTAGGCCATGCCAACCCCCGCTACTTTGCTATCAGTGGATGTCGCTGAGTTTTGATCCTTCCTCAAGGGCGCGCATGACAAAAGCCATGACCTTGGAGGAAGAACAAAATCAGGGTCCTTTCTACTTGGTTGACGTTGGAAGGGGAGCAACAATTTAAATTGTAGCAGTTAAGTGGTTGGATTTCAACCACTCAACCACAATAAGCAAAATGCAAAATGTTTCCCAACAACAACCATGTCTAGGTCCTCCAGAGAGGTTAGAATAAGTTGGTACCCACTTTCTTCTGGACGTGCTTTTGGAACGCCTCCTTGGCTTTCCGAAACGTGTAGGCAATGCATCGAAGGGTCCCCTGCATAAGAAATACCCATCGCACTGGAATACTCACTAAAAAGGGACTTATGCAGGGGGGGAGGTAATTAATGAGAGGTCGATGTGGACTTGCTCTGATGTGTCCGGGCGATTTCGAGGCGCGCTGAGGTTTTCGGATCCGTTTGCAGTTTGCAGTCGATCCAACTGAGAGCCGAGTCCGCGTTGAGCGGCTTGGAACAAGTCCTGTTGAATGATTCACCGTGTCCTTCGGTGGGAACATGAGCCCGTGACAAGAGAACCCATCTGGGTCCCCTGATGTGGGGCCCTATACATGATATCGCTTATGACAAAACACGGTGGGTGAGGGGCGTGTTTACACGGTCATTTTTGCCCCACCCTATGATTAAGACCCTGTTTTGGCGTCATTTCGAAGAACACACCCCTATTTCACAAACTCTGACTACTCTTAGTGATATGAGAACTTAGATGGAGCAACAGGGCTCGCTAGAGCTAATAGTTAAATCAATTGCCACCACTCTCTCCAGCCATCTCAATCTAGCAAATCTCCGAGAGTGTTTGGGCCGGCCAGAGTTCTGGGAACCTACCAACGAAAAGAAGGACGGAGGGCCTCCAGTTAAACCACCGACCTTCCCACAACCCTGGCTCGATTTTCGCGTCATCATTGGCAAAGCTTGGCCGCAAACAGCTGTCCGGGCCGCAAAATGGAAAGTGAGTGACCATAGGTGTCATTTTGGAAAAATAGATGGCCCTGGTAAATGGAATAAAACCAATCTAAACCAGTGCCTTCTATGTTTGACCACACTACCCTAAAAAGGAGACCTATGTGAGTGACCAGTTGACCGAGCTCCTACTCAGAAAGCGTGCGCACAGCCATACCTTCTGTTCCTCGAGCAGTTGGTGTCAATATGCTCATTCCCTGTCAAGATGACTGTGTGGAGATCAGCCACAGATTTGGCCACTTCCAGGCTATTTTGAGGAGTCTGATGGTCAACATCTTATTTTATCAGGTTTGATGGGTATGGCAGGCATCTGCGCGCAAGCCAAAAGTCAAACACGCAGATTCACCCGTGTCTCGCGATGCACGCTTGTCAACATACACACCTTGTAGGACCGACACAAAAACACCTTGCCCGTGAGATGAATCAAAGAACATGGCCGCACATCTGTACTGAAACCGCCACTCTCGAGACACAGGTTGTTCTGAGAAAAAAAAACACGCTACCTGCATCAGATTCGACTATAACCCTCAGCTTCGTCCTTGCGGGTTGAGAACATCCGGACAACGGAAGGGCGCCATTGACGTTCGTTTGCCAGGGAAATCCTTACGAGGATAACCGCACGTTTTCGGGAGCCGGCGCTAAGCCCTCTTCAAGCACAAAAAGGGAGAGGTACATTTTTCCATATAAGTCTTTTTGTTGGCGCTGGTGTGGCTGGGGCGCTTTTTCGGGCGTCTTTTAGGGCGCTTTGAGGCAACCAGCCGGGATGCGGGATGCAAGCAGGGTATGGGTCAAGCCACTTGGACCGCAGGCTGTAGTCCTTGTTTCCATTACCAGGCTTCCATTTTCGCTACCATTGTTTGACCCACACCCAGTTGCTCCCGGGCAGTCACGTTCAACCTGAAAGAACATGTTGCTCGCCCGTCGGACTTTTTTTGGAGATGCCCGAGAAAGAACAGTCAGTAAGCTCGTTCAGACGACAGCTTGCTATGCTTAACTTGTGCAGCTGCAATCCTTCTAATGTTAACTCGGATTAATCCGGAGGACCATACTAGCACAGGAACTAAAATAGATCAACTCGCCACAAATCGGGGGATCCCTGATGAGTACTCTCCTCCGGATGATTCCGATGCGAACATTAGAAGTCACCTGGCGTGTCCATGGCACCAGGCACCAGCTGGAGACCGATTTCGGAGCATGCCTTGGTGCCCTGAGCCTACTATTCAGCAAAACTGGGTCCTCCAGTAGAGAGGTTAGAGTAAGGGTACCAACTTTTCTCTGTTTTAGTAGGGGAACCCTCCCCCAAAAAAGGGTAAAAGGGCACTACTGCGGGGCCTAGAAACAAATTCGCCTCCATGGGGTGAAATCAACTACAAAACCCCGTGTTGAGGTTGCTTCTTCATTTGCAAGACCAGACCCTACAAAGCGGGCCTCGCTTTCAACAGAACCAAAGTCACATCATTTGGCAGGCCTTAAATCGAAATGAGCTTCCCTGCAGAAGCCAAAGGCAAAGCGATTTTCCAAATACCTTCCGGGCATGGGAAGAGCCCTTTCGCTCGGTTGCGAAATCTGCTCCCCTGCTAAAAGTGACTAACTTTTGGTGGTTTAATACGGAAAACCCAGTAGTTGGCAACAAGTTAACTGCGGATGGCTTGACCAGTCATGAAGCAATGAAGCGGGTGTCGCAGGAAGAACATTTTTACTAGGTCCTCCACCAGAGAGTTTAGAACAAGAGTACCCGTGTTTGTTTTTGTGTTTGTAGTCTATGTTGGTAGGGGAACCCTCCCCCAAAAAAGTGTAAAAGGGTACTACTGGGGGGGGACCTAGTGTACCAGGCGAGATGTCCCCCAACAAACGGCAACTTGGAAAATGTTCTTCGTTTCCCGTGGCACACGTTTGATCCTTCCAAAGAAAAGAAACACACACAAAAATGAGAAGGGGGTGAAACACGAAGATAGGCAACAACCTTGTGCTCGCCCTAAATGGGGGGGGAGTTTGGCACACCAACTGCAACCGTTCATTTTTATTTACTATTTCATATATTTCGGGTCTCCCAGACACGAAGCCCGGCGAAGATGGAACTTGCACCAAGGATCCCCTTGGAAGACTACCAACTGTCCTGTTGGACAGCGGGTGGCAACTGTGTACTTGAATCCACGCCTGCCTGGACCCGAAAGAACTACCAATCAAAAGAATAATTATCCAGCTGCAAAATTACGTTTGGGTTGCCATAACCCGCTTTCAAGTTGGAATTGCCAGGGTCCAGGGAGCCCTCTGTCGGCAAAATCAAAACACGTTGGCTGGTCAAAGGCACTGCCACACTCCCTGCCTCGTCGGAATCCCCTTCTCCCGACACCTCAGAGGCTATCTGCACCTCACATTCCCAACGAAGCAAACTTCAATAGGACGCAAGGGATCTTCATGACCGATGTGTTCTTTCAAGGGCCAGTGCAGCGTCTACTAAATACACCTGACCCAGAAGCATACATCTTTGTCATTTTGTCAAATCTTGAATGTATTTGAACTCGTTTCCACTTGCGCGTATTGAAACATGTGCGACAAAAATCCCAGTGCTTTTAGATGCGACGCTTTGCATGCCTATCACTCGCTTTGTCTCTGGCGCCGGATCATTCACTTGGAGAACTAAGAACTGGGTGCTACCACAATTTGGCGCGGGGGGTCCCCTCAATAAAGACGCACCCAAGAAGAGTCCCTGTCACAGGCTGCAAATCCACCACCAAGGGCATGGTTGCATAGCTCGTTGGGCTGTCAGCGTCTGTGATCCTCCGTGACCAATTTCACTGGAATGAACCAGAAATAAGGGCGTGATATGATCACATGTCCCATTCAGTCGATTCTCAGAGCACACTGATTGTTCTCGGGCGCACAGTGCCAGCATTGTAGCAATCAAACACATAGTTGAGACACTTGGCAACAACAATAGGTGCCAAACAAGGAGTCAAACAAATCCGGCCCTTTTGGTTTCTCTTGGGGTAAATTCAACTAATTTGCTATGTAGCACCCAGAATACGGGAAGTGCAACAAAGGCGCAAATCAAACGATCTTAGGCAGCATGAGGACCCTCGAAATTCCAATGTAAACATGGGGTGATTGCAACCAACACATTCTGACTGCTGAACTCCCACTTTTTGAATGGGTAGTTCTTTCGGGTCCAGGAAGTTGTTGCAACACGTTGGCCCAATTGATTGGCCCCAACTGGGAAAAGAGCTCCGAAACGTAACGCTTCGATCCCGGATCGGTTGAACTCCATTTTTCTCGGTTGCGAAATCTGCTCCCCTGCTAAAAGTGACTAACTTTTAGTGGGTTTAATACGGAAAACCCATGAGTTGGATCAACAAGTTCTCAAGTCCTAACAGCCCTCGGCAAAATGCGCCAAAGTTTTGTCCTGGGCAGTTTCAGGAGCAACCCTCCCCCGGCCCAGAGCCCCCCATTTTTCTCCTTGGAAATTCGAAAGAGGGGTCCAGGCACTGACCTCTTCCAGGTCCTGTTGAGAGGATAGAATAAAAAATACCAGAATTTTCCGAATTGGACCCAATTTTGGTATGTATATTTTATGGTTTGCTTCACTTTGAGTCACTGGTAAAATGTAAAGTGTATCCTAAGTCCACCAACTCTTTTGCTGTAGTCTATTTTAGTAGGGGGTTCCCCTCCCAACCAAAAAAGAAACGGTGAGAAAGTTGGCACCAATTGCTGGGGACCTAGTTTCCCACTAACAGTGGTCTACCTCCCCAACCAGTCTATTTTCGAAAAAAGCTCACCAACCCTTTTGTTTACCCAGTTTGGCCCAATTGCTCGGGGACCAAGTGCTGACCTCCTCTCCTTTGTTCAGTGACCCTGGAAAAAAAAGTCGGAACCCTTTTTGGGGCTTGGGCCATGGCCACCAACAAAAAGGTTGGAAAACCAATTGGCGCCAAAGAACTGAGTCGAAGACCCCCCCCCAGGACCCGCCCCGCGGGGCCTCTGAGGTGGACAGCAGCTCCCCCATGGCCTGGCCCGAGCCCAGGCCCTCCTTGCCTCGTCGCGCGTCGCGTGGCGCGCATGGCACGGGCGTCGACGGCGGAAATTTTCGGAGGTTCGGAGGGAAGGTCGGGGGGGGGGGGCAGGGAACTTCGGAACCCAAACCGAGGGCACTGGAGGTCCAAATGGAAAGTTGATGAATGTGATTGGTTTCAACTTGGGGGGGAGGGGGTCCAGGCACTTCAGAGAACCAAACCCGGGTCACTGGAGGTCCAGCCAAATCGAAAGTTGATGGACAAAAATCGTGGCGGTTCAAGCCAGTCGAAAGTTGATCAACTCATTGGTGGTTTCTATGGAAATCGCCCCAAGTTTGAAAGGTTCCCCTTTTTAAAGGGAAATGGATAGAGAAACCCTGCCAAAAGGACGATGCACTTTGCCGTGAGAAACCGAAGGATCGTGCCAAAATTCGAGTCGTGGACTCAAACCGGGTACGGTTTCGGGCCTGCAACTTGCTATCAATGTACATGTCCCACCTGTATCAATAGCCCACTTCCGTGGATGGGCCGACAAAAGGTAACCAAACCTTTTGCTTACCACTAAAATGGTCTAAACCCAACAACTAGGTCCTGCAGATTTGAGAGGTTAGAATAAGGGTACCCTTTTTTTCTGTAGTCTATTGTAGTAGGAGAACCCTCCCAACCCAAAAAGAAACGGTGAGAGAGTTGGCACCTAGCTGGGGGACCTAGTTTACCACTAACAGTGGTCTACCTCCCCAACCAGTTTATATCCGAAAAAAGCTATCCAAGCCTTTTGTTCACCACGAAAAGTGGCCAACGTGTTTCTAGGCCTTGGAGAAAAACAAAAAACTTGTGTTCACCACTAAGAATGGTCCAACTCCCCAAGTTGATCGCCCAACCCAGGGAGTGACAAAAAAGCCGCCCAACCGAAATTTAATGGCGGCCCATGCCCACGCCGAGGCGCTGGAGGGGTCGTGCCCACACACCTGGCTCGGATGGCCCAGTTGGGACGGAGAAAAACCCGACAGGTGTTCCAGTCTCAAATAAACCCATAAAAATCCAACTAACCAAACGACCCATAAAAAGTCCAACTAACCATGATTTACCAACAAGCTGTGGATGGACAGTTAGGAAAATTGGATTCCAGCTGGTGGGACTTTCCACCGAAAAGTTGGATTTCCCAACCCTAAACCCTAAACCCCTAGAATTCCAACTAAGCATGATGTTGAAATTCACCCACCCAGGATTTTGGGTTGCGAGAACCCATGTTTCAGGGAAATAACCCTTTGCGGCCGCAGAAAAAATGGGAACACGTGGTAACCCGCAAAAAAATGGGGCTGTGGCTCAAAAAACCGGAATTCCAAAATGGCTTGCCCTGGTAAGTGGAAACATGGACCAAAACCTGCGTAACCCCTCCTGTTTATCTGAGCCACACCCATGGGAATCCACAAGGCTTAAAGGGCAACTTTGACAAGTAACTGAGTTTGAGGGTACCCTTTTCAGGTTGGCGATTGGCTTACAGAAAAATATATATCAAAAGGACGCCGCCATCACCATGTTTTTGAGTCCCTGATTGCGACACATACCCAAAGAAGTGCCCACCCAAAGAATCTAAGACCAAACTCACTACCCCCAAAACACTACCCCCAAAAGCCCACATTTTGTGCTCCAGCGGACCCTTCAAACTGCTTGATGTTTGAAATGATTTGCCTGCAGCTGCGTGGCCCCTAGAATGGCGAGTCCCTACCAGCACAGTTCTTCAGAATGGCTTAGCCTGGTGCCCGTCTACCTCGTGGCTAAAAGTGGTGAACTTTTGTGGCGATTGTCCCGGTATTCGAAAAGCAACTTTGGGGCTGTTGCCACCCACACCGACTCCGGAACTCCCGCACTATCCCCGCGCTACCGCCCCCAACTACCCCCAAACTGGGGGTAGTGGTGTGATTCATCTTTTTCACGCGCATACCAGGTAACGTGTGACTACCCCCAAATCCCCCAGTCAAATCCACTACCCCCAACCGCGCGTTTGTGGACTCACTACCCCCAAAACCGAGGATGTGGCGGTCCCTCCAACGCGACATGATCAAAGCAGCAAACCAAACTGGCTGCCAAGAAAGCAAAGCTTTGATGTTCACCTTAAACAAAGATACCGGCGCAAACCAAGCGTTGATGTTCACAAGTTTCACCGTCAAACTGATAGCAGCGAACCCGGATGAAACACATGCCGCAGCTCCAGAATTACCTGGTTTCTGCAGCAGCCAAATATGCACAAATTGAGGCGCCCTCGTATAACCCTTATATAACCCTTTCCTAACCTTTATATACCCTGTATATATCCATTGGCTTCTGAGGGTAGTGGTTTGGGGGTAGTCAATGTAGTCTTAGAAAGAAGGATCCATCCGCTCAAAGGTCCTTGGTTGATCCCATGTGCAGCTTCACTGGTCGTGAGGGTGGGTGATGAGTTCGCATGCTGCATAACAGGTACTCCCCCTTCTTACCCCTTAAAACTCCAAGCCCTGGGGAAGTTAATCTTTTACAGACATATAGCCCATGTTACCCCCAACAAGTTGAGAAAAGTTGTGTTTTTAAGAGGTAAGCCTTTGAGTTGTAGCGTTGGTTAAAGCACCACGGTGATTTTTGTTTACCAGAAGTGCAGGGTCCGACCAAAAAATGCGCCCCACGAAACCCGGAAGTGGCCGGTGGCCGCCCTGCGCTTGCTGATAGTGCACAGGGGATTTCATCAACGCTGGCACGGGTGAAACACCATCCCAAATCTGAACTCCAATGTTGGGACACGCAGTCATTGCAGCACGTTTCCTTGCATTCTACAAAGGCCTGGCCCAGGTAGCAACAGCAAGCTCACTTGAGTCGCAGAACAAGCGCAGCTGCTGCGAATCGCTTTGATGGATCTCACTAGCGATCAAGGCGCTCTAACCGACTCTCCCGTTGCGGCTACAGTCCAAGATAGAGTAAAGTTTCGTCTGTTTCTTGTGCGCGCTTTTGTTGTTTGGGGCGTCTGTTTTGCCTCCGCTTGAATTTCAGGCACCTGGACCCTCAAACTACACTTGAAAAGAGGGAACTCACCGACCATCATCTTGGGGCAAACAATTCTGAAGGGAATCTTGTAAGTCCAGGTGTGTTTCTTCAGAGTCAGCTACCGATTCTCGCGAGCCATTCCAAAATTCCATGCAACCAGAACTGCGACCTCGAAAGCTCTAGCCGCTGGTCGACGAACATGGAACCTAGCAGGGTTGTCCTGGACGGAGCTCCTGGTGGGCGATGTGTTGCTAGGTCCTCCAGTAGAGAGGGTAGAATATTGGTACCAACCTTTTTCCGTAGTCCATTCTAGTAGGAGAACCCTCCCTTCCCCAAAAAAAAGATGTGAGAAAGGGCAGTATGCTACCCACCCGGCCGAGCTCGACCACCTGGACCCTCACAATTCCAACTTAGGATGAGTCGTTGCAACCCAACATTCTCAAAATCCCTGATTTGTGAGTACTCATCCAATGAGGGTTGGTGCAATCCCAATCTTTTCTGGGATAGTTGGTATCCTGTGATTTATGGGTAGTTTGGGGGTGGGATACTCTTTTGGGATTCCTGGAAACCGCGGGGCCCGAATTCTGGAAGTGGGGGGCCACATGCAGCTTGGAGCCACACTAAGTCGTGATCATAACTCAGTTGTTCAGGGAAGGAACCCTTTTTTGGGGCTTGGACCATTTTAGTGGGGCAGCCACCTAAAAAAAAGGAAAGAGGGGGCCACTGAACAACTGAGATAAACGATTGAAATAATTGTTGTATTTGGGCTGAGTTGTCTGTTCGGACCCTGAATAGAAGGTGATCACCCTTTGGGGCCACTGAAAATGCTGCCGGTGTCAGGAAGCCTCATGGACGCCCCCACTCCAAGGGCCAAAAGTAGCCTTGTCTAGGTCCTCCAGTAGAGAGGTTAGAATAAGTTGGTACCAACTTTTTTCTGTAGTCTATCTTAGTAGGGGAACCCTCCCAACCAAAAAAGGTGCGAGAAAAGGGCACCTAGCTGGGGGTCCTAGTTGCAGAATCCCGCCTTCTGACCGTAGAGGGCAACCTTCACGATGGCCAAATAGCTCACGAAGGAGTACCTTCGATCCCATGTCTCTCAAAAATGGATCGTCGAAAGTGCAAACTTGTGACGAGATATAGGGGTTGATCGAAAGGTCCACTAAACATGACTGGGCCCCTCAGATCCCCCGCAATCAAGTGACGAACTGTTCGTGGGCTTAAATTCGGAAACCTACCACTAAGAAGGCTAAAAGGATCTGAAAAGCTAAGGAACCGGATGGCCTTCGGGCGCCAAGATGGGACCCTCCGGAAACCACTCCAAACATGACTTGCACCGAATGGGAAAAGTGACCCATCCTCACTTTTTCGAGGTCCGCCAGTGGAGAGGATCGAATAAGGGTACCAACTTTTTTCTGTCTATTTTAGTAGGGGAACCCTCCCCCCAAAAAAGGGTAAAAGGGCACTACTGGGGGACCTAGTTTTCTTGGGCGAACGGAATATCTTGATGTTTTGTTGGGCGCAGAGCTCCATTTCAAGCTTTTGGCCTTGCTGAAAAAAACAACGCCGAAAGGGTCTCGAAAAATCCCCAACCACCGCACCTACGTCTTTGAGCCTGGGTTCTACGTTCACATGGGTCCCAAGCGATCACTCCTGGGCAAAAGTAGATGAGACTCTTCCCTTTCCTAGGTCCTCCAGTAGAGAGGTTGGAACAAGAGTACCCGACTTTTTTCTGTAGTCTATCTTAGTAGGGGAACCCTCCCAACCAAAAAAGGCGTGAGAAAGTAGCAGTCTAGTTTTCAGGGGGGAACCCTCCCAACCACCCTTTTTCTCTGTTTTGTCTATCTTCGTAGGGGAACCCTCCCAACCAAAAAAAGGTGTGAGAAAGTAGCAGTCTATTTTTCAGGGGGGAACCCTCCCAACCACCCTTTTTTTCTGTTTTGTCTATCTTCGTAGGGGAACCCTCCCAACCAAAAAAGGTGTGAGAAAGTAGTAGTCGATTTTTTAGGGGGGAACCCTCCCAACCACCTGTTTTTTTTTCTGTAGTCTGTCTTAGTACGGGAACCCTCCCAACCAAAAAAGGGGTGAGAAAGTTGGCACCGATCGCTGCGGGACCTAGTTGTGCAGTTGTGCCATCTACCTGCATCCATTTCGACCGCTGGCCATCCGTTCCTAGGGATTTGATATGAAGCAAAAGAAATACCTGGACCCTCAATCTACCCACAAAAGTTGGAACTCGCCAACCACAATATGTGGCTTCCATTTGCAAGTTGGAATCTTGAGGTTCCAGGCTGTTCTGACTACTAGGAACTGGGGCGCGACTCCGGACTGGCAAGGCCACAACCAAAAAAGTCGCACAAAACTCGAAAACAAACCCGGAGGAAAGTGATTTCCTTAAGTCTCTGGGCACAAAAAACAAGAGTACTTTGTTCTCTTTCCAACATACTCTCGGTTGCGAAATCTGCTCCCCTGCTAAAAGTGACTAACTTTTAGTGGTAAAATACGGAAAACCCACTAGTTTGCAAAAGTTAAAGTCCTAACATCCCTTGGCAAAATGCAACACACTACTGGTTATGTGTTGAACCATTTGCTTTTGAGCCTCCGGGCAAGGATCAACATACTGTGATAGAGTCCATTTGAAGCCAACAGGGGAAAAAACAAAAACACACTTAACCAAATGGAAAGCGGGAAAATAATAGTATTATTATCATGATTATTATTTATTTATTTTTTTAAGAAGAAGACATGCACGATTCCGAAATCACCCGGGCAAATGCACCATTCCACAGGATGGGAAATTGCCCCCCAAAAAAAGAACAACCTGGTTCCCAAATCCCTAAGATTCCAAAAATATGTTTCGGGCAGCTATGCTGGCTGAGATTTGGGGATGTTTTGGAATTTTAGGAATTGTCGAGGAACTTACTAAGGTTCTAATTTTTGGAAATCCCACCGCTCTCATGGTATGTTGAGTTTTGCATTGACTGAGTTGACTTTGCGTTGCTTTCTGAGGAACGTGTAAACAATTTCCATCTCGGACATATTTGCTGAGAGGTTGAGAATTTGTGGAACTCTCAAGGTTGTTGGAACTTGCATGTCTTAAAAAAAAAAAATGTGGAATTCGGGGGAGAAAAAAACATCGCGGAGTTGTTGGGAACTTTGCATGTACTGCTTTGTTGTTGGAATTGCTTCAATTCAGAACAATTGTCGAGGTTTCTGGACACTTTGCATGAGGGATTGTTGGAATTTCCATCCCAAACATAGTTGCTGAGATTTGGAAATGTTTCGATTTTCGGGAAGTGTCGGAGTCTTTTTGATTTTTGCATCAAGCGGGACCTCCACCCGCTCGTGTCTACCTTTGTTGGGGTCGTCATTGTTCAATGTGTTTACTGATTGAATCTGTGCATGTCCCAACACACGCAAATCTGCGAAAACTCATAATCTTGGGGCCGTGAAAACACTCAGTGCTCACCGTGCTGCTTTCAGTTCAGGTTAGGGAAGCCATTAAAGGAAAGCCACGCAAGAAAAAGAACGACAATAGATAAATAAATAAATACATACATAAATAAGTAAATAAATAAATAAATGAATAACTAAATGAATATATAAATAACTAAATAACTAAATCACATGAATAAGTAAATACATAAAAAAAAAAGAGGAAAAAAACATTAAAAACAACATACACAAACAAGTCAAATAACATTAACATACATAATGCCACAATTCAATCAAATAGCATACACCAATTAACATAAAACAAATATAATAACATAAACCAAAATAATCACATATAAATATGATCACATGAATAAATAAACCCAGAAATCGTCTAACCAACTAAATAAATAAACCATACTAACCATATCAGCTCCTCACCTTGGCCAAAGCTACACGGCCGGTCTTCCTGCCAAGTCGCATCACCAAGCTGGGCCACATCAAGATCCTCAGATCCATCGAAGCGTCACGCGCCAACTCGAAGCAATGTGACGCCAAACTCGATGCAGCGCGAGAGCCGCAAATCATGGGGGAATCCGCCGCAGCTTGAGAAACGCCAACTTGTTCCCTTTTTGGGGTGGTTTTAGAGGGAAGCAAATGGAACAACTATCAATTTTCAGGGTCCCCTGGTTTGACTAGGTCCTCCAGTAGAGAGGTTAGAATTCAGGGTACCCGTTTGTTTTCTCCTTTTTTTTTTTTCTTTTTTTTTTCCGGATGGTCTATTTTGGTAGGGGAACCCCTCCCAACCAAAAAAGGGTAAAGGGCGGGGACTGGCCTTGACCGGGGAAGAACAAGTTGCAACATGCAGCTGAATGAACACCAGAGCTTTTTGTCCGATTGAACTTCACAGTTCGGCTAGATGAAGCCCTACTAGAATAAGCCAACCGACTGGTGCCTGGTGTGGATTTTGTCCATTTCCTTTCCATTCAAAGAAGCCTTCCAGCCTCAAATGCGTGTAGGGGGGTCCCAATTTGGGAAAGCAGTTCGGACTTGTCTCCTCCATCAAATATTAAATACTGAGCATTCGGCAGTCCCGTTGCAATTGAAGCTATCACAAACCCATCTGAAGCACAAAGGTAAGCTGGGCTCACGAAAAATACATGCACTTGTCACAAGACCGTCTGCCATTTCCTTGAGCCCCCTGCGAGACATAAAATATTTCCAGTAGTGAAATCGATTCCCTTTAAAAACCCAACCGGGGGAGACAAACAAATGCTTAAGCAAATGGACGCCGTGGTCCTTTTTTCCAACTCAACTCAATGCCTGCGGAGTGGGCCGAGTCTTGGAGGTCTTACGGGGGTTCCCTTGATTCACAGAAGGAAGTTGATATAAATTGAATCACGGGGTCAGCCAATCTCCGCTGAACGGATGTGCAGCAACTAACAAAGCAAAGGGAAACATGAATAAATTGCTTGAATTGCTTTCTTGGGGGGTTCTGTTACCTACTTGGGCATGGTGTCCTGTGTCGTACCAGAATCTGGGTGCTCAGACCGTCGAAGTTGGGCCAAACCAGACGATGGTTGGGGCAGGACCAACTTTAAGAGGGAAACTTGTGTCGACAGCTGACTTCCATGGATTGGCAAAAAAACAAGTCCAAACCTTTTGTTCGCCACTAAAGTGGCAACCCAAGAAATGGGTACAGTCTAACTTAGGAATTGAGGATTGAACTGTACGTAGGGCTTCAAATTTGGAAGGCTCCTCTTTTTTCGTCAAATGGCGATGTCCGGTTTTCCTGAGGTTGGACAACCACTACCCCAACAAGGTACCTCCAAACAAAAAAAACAGATTTGACCTCATCCCAACCCTCTCCGACCGGCCAGTGTGTGCTTCGGAAGTCCGAATTGGCGAATTGCCCATCTGGGCTTTCAAGCTTGAATTCGGGGCGCGTTGCGAACAAGGAAATGTCGGCGGTTTCATTCAAACGGACTGGACAGGTCTTTCCACAATGCTCCATGATTAGAGTGGGGACCAGTTGTAGAATGTATATTTTACTGTTTGCTTCACTTTGAGTCACAGGTAAAAATGTAAAATGTATCTTAAGTCTACCCCAGGTTCCGGTTGGGAGTTGGTGCCATTCTTATCCAACACCTAAGGCTTGCGAAGCGAACGGTTCCACAAATACTCCCAGCCCAAGAACGAGATCGCCGAAACGCGTCCTGCTTTTCCCTCGGGTCGAAAACGCGCGCGCTGGTCCATGCCGAAACCAAACCGAACCCCACTAGGTCCTCCAGATTTGAGAGGTTAGAATAAGTTGGTACCCGATTTTTGTTCGGTGGTCTATTTTAGTAGAGGAACCCTCTCCCAAATAAGTTGGCAAAACACAAAAGTTGGTACAAGGGCACCTAGCTGGGGGACCTTACTGGGGACCTTACTGGGGGTTTCAATTTTAGTAGGGGAACCCTCTCCCAAAACGTTACGGTACAAGGGCACTAATGTTGACCCAGGATTAATAAACCCGTCCCACTATTCGGGGGGTGAAAACCCCTCCAAAAGTGGTCTGAATCCAACCACTAAAAGGAATCGGACACCCCCCAATCAAAATCAACCAGGGGTTCTGCTTAATCCGGGGTTAACATTACTTGGGGGCCTAGCCATGCAGCTGAGGTGCCAATCCTTGAAGTCTTGGCAGAAGGTGGTGTCCTCAAAGCTCACACGTGAGTCGCGGTTCACATAGAAACACTAAAAAGAAAAAGAACAAAAATACATCACCTCGGGGGAAAACAAAACAAAACAAAAAACGAGAACATAGTAATCATAATAATAATAATAGAAATAATAATTAAAAAAAAGTGAAAAACAGGAAAAAGAAGGAAAACACAGAAAACAGCAAGTACAGGCAAACGACAAAGTCATGCCTAAGTCACTCCTTTATCTGTGTGGCCATGTGTTCCCCCATGTAAACGCCGATTCCAAGAAGTCACTCCTAAGTCACGCCTCGGCAACAATCCCCATGGAACGCTTGACATCACCGAGCTGGTCATGCTACAAAAAGACAGGTGTCAACACTGAGACAATGGAACGCTACTGATGGCAAAGCATGTTTTCCAGCCCCGCGAGGCGTCTGCAGGAACATGAAAACCAATGGAACGCCAAGCATACGATAGGTTGTTGCAGGAGAGTTTAGTAAGACGTGACACAATGGGTCGGCTTTGCAGGCTCTTGCACCGTGTTTTTCCACATCCTGGAGTTCTTTCTCTGGAAGGCAGGCAGGCACATATGCAATGCACCCTGGCAAAAAACGAGATCAAAACGAGATCAAACGGAGATCAAAACGAGATCAAAACCAGATCACCGATCGTCCGTTGAAGATTTTTGGATATTTTGAGCCCACATGTGCCGAACCCGCGCCCTCAAGCACCGGCTCAGCGCTGCACAGGCGCCAGCCAAATAATAAGCACCCCCTCAAGCGCACCCGCTCAGCCCTGCAAACACGCCAGGTTAGTCCAGGTGAGAGGCAAAGCACGGTGCCGACTCGAACCAGCTGTAGCAAAAGAGACGTCAAGTCTCAAGATTGCGAAACACACTGTAAACCCTCCTAGGCGGATAAGATAGAACATGCCTAAACCATCCTAAACCCCACGGAATAACCATTTTCAACTGCAATGCCTCCCAAAAGCCTATCCCTTCAAACATGCAGAGTTCCTATGCGTTTTGGAAAGAGGCACGACTTCTTCGAAGCCCTCTCCCCCATGGAATTTAAGCAATGCCTCAAACGGAGGCACGACTTTGTCAAATCCCTGTACCATGTCTAGGGTCAGCTTTCCTTTGGTCGGATTGATTTGGAGGGGTGGTTTACCACCAATCCAAGCCGCTGGTCCTGAGTGCAGCCTGACCGACCGTCGACTCGGCCAATGAGAGTGTCGACATGGAGCCGAGAGAGAAGCCCAATGAGTGAATCGTACCCCCTACTCAACTAGGTCCTCCAGCAGAGAGGTTAGAATAAGGGTACCCTTTTTTCTGTAGTCTTTTTTAGTAGTGGAACCCTACCTAGAGTCTCCATGACCGTTTAAAAATGGGTCAAGGACCCCATTATTTTGGGTAGTGACCCCATTTTTGCGGGGTGTCATGGAGACTCCAGGTACTCAAAATACCCGGGTTTGTTTTTTCAGTGTGTATTTTCGTTGGAAAACCGATCGGTTTTCCATGGTAAATATATCCTGTTTTAGTAGAGGGTCGACATGATACCCTGCAAAAAAGAGGGTATTTGGAGAAGGGGGTACACAAAGCCGGCCCTTAATTGGCTGTGGGTCAAAAATGGGGTAACCCCAAAATGGGTTGCCCTGGTAAATGGAAAGGACGATTTCACCTGCGGTCCATATCCTGGTTAAACTTTGACCCCAGTGGTGACAAGTGGAAACTTGGTGCCATGGCCCTTGCCCTAAGCAAATTGATCTGTGATGGTCTCCCATTGAATAGTTCATCAAGAAATCCCTCGCGCGCCAAGCGCTTATCGCCGCAAAACCCCGGCGTGTGGCTTCCTTTTGGCCAATCCCCGGCGTCTCCTCGGCACATCCTCCAGACTTGAGAGGTTAGAATGAGTTGGTGCCCGACTTTTCTTCTTCTTTTTCTCTAGTCTATTTTACTGCGTCACGGGAGGGGTGTTGGGTGACAGGTTGCAGACGAGCGATTCGCATTTTTCGCAATCTCTGCTGTGTACTGTACGACGGCTCTCGGCGCCAAAAGGCTAGGAAGAGACCTACGGGGGTGCGCGTGGGCAATTTCGGACCCGGAAAGCCTTTTATCATTACAAGTTCTAAAACGGTGTGTTGCTTGACCGTCCCACGCCTGCTACACAAACCGCACTTGTTAATTCCATCCGCGGCTGACCGGGTAGAGTCTTTGAAAGCAGCCAAGAAGCATAAACTTTCGTCTGGCTGAAGGGCAGTAAAGATAATTCAGTGGCACTCGCGGCTCCTTTGAAACATGTGGCTGCAGACATCAGGAGGACGAAAGTTTATGCCTCTTGCTGGTTTCTACGAAGCCGTATGGATCGCCTGCGGGTCGAATTTCCAATTCGGTTTGTGTGGCAGGGGCGGGACGGTCAATTATCACCCTCTCTTAAAATTAACATACTTTTAAAGGTTTTGGAGTGTGAAAATTCGACCACGAGTGACCCAGCATCAGCTTGCAGGATTCTAGGGGGAAAGGGTTGTGTTCTCTGAGAAGGCCTGAGAGGCGCAACTTTTGTCCTGGCAGTGTAGTAGTTTTAATAGGGGAACCAACCAAAAAAGTTGGCAAAAGGGCACTACTGGGGGACCTAGTCAAAGTTGATCAATTTACTGGGGGTTTCCATTGAAACAACCGCCACTTTTGGAGGTTCCAAAAGGGGAAATGAAGGAGCGCCGGTCATGTTGCCACACTTTACACCCGGTGAATTCCAATCAGCTAAGAAAGACTTTTCGCACAGATCAATGATTGATCCTCGGAGACTGAAGAGGCACAGCTCGAAACAGGGTGTCTTTTTCGAGCGTGGACTTCTTACGTGGTGTTTAAGGGAAGCCAAAAGGAAAGAAGCTACCTATGTTGGAGCCGGCATCTCCCATGTTAAAAACCCTAGCGGTGCAATGACCTAAACAAGGAAGACCCCTTTTGACCAAAGACTTCTGTGAAGAGTCATGAACCGGAGCTGCATGTTCCTAGTGGGTAATAACCAGGCAATTTGCCAATGACCCCTCTTCCAACCATACATGGAACAGATCGGGATTGGTTGCTGGGGGGTATTCGCATATGTCCCGAGGAAAAGTAAGACAGGTCTGATTTTGTTTGGCGATCATTTCCAATTCTCCGAATCACCCCTTCATGAACACCAATTGGATATCTGCAATTCTTTTAAAATTTGCTATTGAAGTCCACTCTCTCACCCCCTCTAGGTCCTCCAGTAGAGAGGTTCTAGGGGTACCAACTTTTTTCTGGTCGTCTACTCTAGTAGGGGAACCCTCCCAACCAAAAAAGGGGGTGAGAAAGTTGGCACCGATCGCTGGGGGACCTAGCCCAGTCTTACAACAAGATGCGCGGAAAAACCCGGCGGTCCGAATCCGAGCCCCGGCGGGAAAAAAAAAAGGAAAGCGGCTGAAGCGGAAGCCGTGTCCTCAGCACCCTGGGGCTTCATGTTCAGGTGGTACAAGAGCTGAATGCCTCCGGCAGTTTTTTATTTTTTATTTTTATTTTTACCCGCTTCCCCCCAAAAACGAACTATCCGCTTCCCCCCAAAAACCTTGGTGAGTTCAATTCGGCTGTTTGTTTTTTTTTTTCTTTAACAAAAATACACACTATCCGCTTTTTCCCAAACCTTGGTGAGTTCAATGGCTGTTTTTTTTTGTTTTTTTTTTTTTTTAAACAAAAATACAAACTATCCGCTTTTTCCCAAACCTTGGTGAGTTCAATGGCTGTTGTTTTTTGTTTTTTTATTAAACAAAAATAAAGACTATCCGCTTTTTCCCACACCTTGGTGAGTTCAATTCCGGTGCGGTGTGGTGTGGTGTCTTGCAAAGGTGCCCCAACCCAGAAGCAGCTCGACTCCGACTCCAGGGGCTCCAACCGTGAGAGCTTCGCAGTTCCAAAGCTTGGGCCTTTCGCTCTTGCATGGCGAATTCCAGATGGGCCACACATCAAGTCCCAAGCCCATTTGCCAAACCAAACCATTTGGGGGGTTACACGATTTTGGAGCTACGCAATTGGCGCGGTACCATCAATATACCGTTGTCCAATCAGGTGGGAGGTCGCGTAGTCTTGCTGCTACCTCTTTGCTAGGTGTCCTGTGGGCAAAACATCGTGGATTTCCCTGGTAAATGGATGGCATAAAACCTGTGCCGGTAAACACTATCCAACTGCAATTCCATCCAACAGGAGGCCCATCCTTCGTGCAGGTTTCTTCCAAAACAAATCCCATCGACATTTGTCCATTCTGCGCCCCAACGCTCCACCATGGCTTTCCCCCTAACACCCCCGCAACAAAAAATGCACTGTCAACGCCCACTTGGGAAGCTGCCAAAACCAGGAAGCCTGTCTCTATTTACTAGAACGTTCTTCCCTAGGTCCTCCAGAGAGGGTAGAATAAGGGTACCCACTTTTTTGTGTAGTCTAACAAGTTGGTGAGAAAGGGCACCGATCGCTGGACCAATTCCCAAAACGTGGAGTCCAAGAACTGGGAAGCTCCGCCAAACATGTCTTCAGAGCCGAAGCGAAGCTCGGGATGCCGCGTTTCAGCTTCTCCTCCGGCGTCGCGCCTTTTTTTTTCTTTCCCCAGCGCCCCGCGTTTCAGCTTTTCCCCCGGCGCCGCGCGTTGTTTTTTTTTTTCTCCCGCGCCTTTCCGGTCCAGGTACAGGAAGATGGCGAAGATCAGGTAGGTCCACACCTGATAAAACTTGTCGAGCCAAAGTTGAAGGGTCCTTTGGGGTGTTTAGACCCCAAGAAAAAAACAAAGAAGAAACAAAAGGAAACAACAAAAAAAACGTCCCCAAGAAAAAAAACAAAGAACAAAAACAAAAGAAGAAGAAAAAAGGGGGGGAAAAAACAAGAAACGTGGGTCCCCTCTAAAGGGGCTCCCCCAAAAAAAGAGACGCACACTCAAATGGCCCCCTTTTTTTCGAGGATATGTCTCAAACGCTTGGGACTCCCAATTTGAGGTAAGGTGTGGTTCGGCCTTTTAGGGTTTAAGTTAGGTTGTGTGGGGTTTTCCTTGAATCATCAACCAAAAAAAGGGGTAATTACCCTCCAAAGAAGACACACCCATGGCAAACCGCAATCATTAGCCTCAAACTTCCCGGGCTTTGCTTTTCTGTGACCAGCGGCCGGTGATGCAATTGTGACCAGCGGGCGGAGACCCCAGAACCGCCGGGTATTTGCCGACCAAAAAGAGGCGCATCCCCTAGAACCCACCACCCCACGACAGGGAGGTCTCTCCTTTTGTTGGGGGGGGTGTTGCTTCGAGTTCGGGGGTGCCTTATGTAAGGCGGGGGACGGGGAAAAGGACGGGGGGACCCTGGCAGGTACCATGTCCAAGGGGCTCCACCAAACGTTTTCTTTTTCCCCCAAGCCCAGTAACAGTGATCACGCCCACACGCGCGCCACAAGACGAAGCGGACGGTCCGTGAAACCTTTGGGGCCGAATCCGAGGTGGCCATTTTCGCCCAGAACAGCCTGAAGAGGTTACCTGGACCCTCAACATTCTAACTTAAACATCAAACAAAAGTGACTTCGTGAAATGCCCCTCTCCTTTTTTTAACGGATAGTTCGAGGGTCCAGGTGTGTCTCAAAGGGGTCCGCGTGCGTTGCCTTCGGTTTCCATACACCTCCGACCCCACACCCAACTCACCCAACCCACCAGTGGATCTCTATGGGAAACAATCCCCTTGTTGTTGGCTGATGTTGAGGGGAAACAATCCCCAACCACAAAGTACACCACAAATCACACGCTCAGATGCTGTTTCATTGGTCTAAGATGCATGGCTGGAGCCTCATAAACTGGAATCCCCGACATGGGGAAGATTCTTATATGGCAACAAAGACTAAAACCTGCAGTTGGCCAATCAGTTTGATTTTGAGCCATATCCGAACCACCAACCAAGGCTAACCTGAGTATTAACGCCAAAGCACCTACTTTGATGCACGCTGAAATTTCTGGGAGACCACAGGCAAAAAAAAAAAGAAGCACCCCACTGGAGCTCGGGGTTGTTTTCTCCGAGGGGCAAGACTGAAGATGCCCGCCATCAGCACGGCCCTGAGCCGATCGCTTCTCGCCACCAAAAGTCGCCCGCCCGCCGTTTTTTTCTTTTCCGTGACCTGAACAAAAGGGCTGGACCTTTGGATTTGATTGAAACCCAGGGAGGTCCTCCAGATTTGAGAGGTTAGAACAAGTTGGTACCAACTTTTTCTGGTTTAGTCTGTTTTAGTAAGGGACCTGCCAACCAAAAAAGGAGTGAGAAAGTGCACTACTGAAAAACCTAGTAACCACACCTGTCGACATCTGTAGCTCTGCACTGACAATCCGATCTACAAATAGCTAAAACAATAAAGAGCTGCAATAGCTACAGATCGATCTATAGATCGACCTGTTTTGCACTGAAAATCCGAGCTATAGATCTGGCTGAGTGAAAAGCATCCACGCCTAGCCTTCTTCCACTGTTGGCCCGTGGGGAAACCTGCCGGTTCGGAACGACAGGCGAGTTCCCCGCAAGGCCTCAAATTGAGATTCTGACCTGGACCTGAAAGAACTACCCAGAAAAAACAAAAACGCTTTCACCAACCATACCTACTCAAAATACCCGCCTTTTTTTCAGTCGTTTTTTTGGGGACCACTGGTTTTCCATACTAAATGCCTTCTGGTTTTCCATGGAACCACTGGCTTTCCGTAGAGGGTCGACATGATACCGACTGAAAAAGGGCCGGGTATTTGGAGGGGGTAGTGTTCTGGGCTAACTGATCTTCTGCTGGTGGGGAAATGTGTAAGTTGGAACTTTGAGGGTCCAGGTAGATAAGATACCGTCTCACTTGCTGAGTGGATGGCAACCAAAAAAGTTCTTAAACTTTTTATTTACAACTGAAAAGGGTCTTCCCAAAAAGTTCAAAGTTCATGAACTCAGGTAGATGACATACCCATTCGCTGAGTGTCCGGTTCAACTCCTCGCTGAGGGGGTACTGATGGGTGTGCTCCTTCGCCATGTTGAGGATCCTTCGCTCGGATGGTCTCAAGTGGTTGGAATCAGTGGGTCAAACGTAAACGTTTTCAGACTGACCACGAATTTCGGGCTTAGGATTTAGGGTTTAGGGTTTATTTAGGGTGTAGGATTTAGGGTTTAGGGTTTAGGATTTAGGGTTTAGGGTTTAGGGTTTACGGTTTTAGACCGACCCACCTCGTATACATTGGCAAACTTCTCCCCACACGAGACTCCCGAAAAACAAGTTGGACAACGCCAAGCGGACCGCTCCCTGCGTCAACCCCAAGCTCGAGTTCGCAACTGTCGGACCCAAAGGAGCTGCAAAGACCTGAGACTTGCGAGTCTTCTCGCTGAAGATCGCCGGCCGCTTCCCCCAACGGTGTTGGCTAGACGGGCTCAGCATCCCCTTCTAGGTCCTTCAGTAGTTTGAGGTTAGAAAAAGTTGGTACCTAACTTTTGTTTGTAGTCTATTTTAGTAGGGGAACCCTCCCAACCAAAAAAGGGGTGAGAAAGGGCAGTGGGGGACCTAGCCTTGCTACAGATGGGGCAATTGGTGCTCAGGGCTTCAAGCCTCTGAGTCGATTCCGAGTCAACTTGGCACGAGAGCCTTGAAACGTCCGGCTCAAAATTCATAAAAATTGGCCGATCCCATGTCCAACCAAAGGGGCCCAAGGGCCATTTGCTTGTTATAAGTGTGTAAACCAGCACAAATCATATCCTGTTGGTCTCAACAAAAAAAGAGGGACTTGTTTTGGCCATAAAGGGCCCGTTTGTAGTCCGTCGGAAGGATTGAGGACCGCCCTTCCCAATTTGCTATTCTCGACTGAGTCGTGGGCCAAGGCAAAAACACGGATCAAGCGCCTAAACGGAGAAGAAAACATGGTGTTTCAACCAAAACAGGGACCGCCCCCCCCCCCCCAAAAAAAAAAACGAGCAAACATGCATGTATATACTATATCTATATATATGTTGCATAGGTACACATCTAGAAATATATATATATACATACGTATGGTTCCTTTGGTTGCCCGACATTCAAAGGACGCTTCAGTTCAGGAAACACCCCGCCATCATCGCCAAATTCAACTCCCCCTTGCTACTTGAGGTGCCTGGCGCTCTGTCTAGAAACTGTCTGACGAACCGAAGACTGGGACTCGGCACGTGGTTCTCTACCCTCCCAGCAACTAACATATGGCAGTGGTTGTCAAAACCGTTTTGGGATCCCATTTTGGGATTGGGATGTTCCCTGGGGGTACGATTTGGATTTGACCCATGGTCATGTGGCGGTCGTCAAGAATTGGGCAACCAAATCCTGAAATGGGTTGCCCTCACAGGGCCCTCACAGGACTAAAACCTGCGGCCCTTATGCTGGTGGCTTAACTTCAATCCATACCCATTTCAATGTCTTCTCAAACAACTGCGCACCGTTGACACCCTGTTTGAATTTCGCATGGGCACTACGGCACCGAGCCAAATGCAGCAAGGGCACGTGTCATGCTTGACATCTGCTAGAGCATAGTTGATGAAGCCCGCAAGTCCTGACGAACTTCGCCAAACGCACAAACGAGCTCAAAGGCAAACCCTGCCCATCATTGGCCCACAAACGTTCACCTCAGCGCCGAGCAAAGTAGCACACCCCCTACTACTCAAAATACCCTCTTTTCTCAGGGTATTCTTTGGAAAACCTGGCTTTCCATGGTAGATACCTCCTTTTTTGGTAGAGGGTCGACATGATACTCTGAAAAACGGCCGGGTATTTGGAGTAGGGGGCGTAGTGGCTCCAAAATGGGTCACACTCCGACTTGTTGCCAGTTGACGAGATGCCCCCAAACTTGGTCAAGAGATCCCCGACCGAAAGGCCAAAGGACCCATGATGTGACTCCCAACTCACCTAGAAAAAGAATCTCTATGTGGGTTTGTCTTCTTTTAGGGCACCCCCCCCTCAAAAAAAAAAGAGAAGAAAACAAACACCAAAATGGTTGGATTCCCCTTTGGAGTCCTTTTATAAACCAACCCAAAAAAGGCGCGCCATTCAACAAAACCACTCTCAAGTCATGCCCCCCAAAGGCCGGCGCTCCGCGATCCGCCGAGGTCGAGTGGCCGGTGAGGGTCAGGGAGCAGAGGATGAGGCCGTAATACATCACGAAGCAAGCGCTGTAGGACAGCGCCAAGCCCTCGATGCGAGCGCACATGGCGAGATGTCTTTCGTTTTTCGAAGGGTTCGATGGGATGAAAACGAGCCCGAAGGAAACTGCCATGTGGACCCAAGGCAGGTTGGAACATGCACCAACCATATGTTTGGGGCGACAGCCCATAACTTTGGGACGCGCAATTCACCCGGTTCTAGGTAAGGGAATTTTGAAGGTCCGGATAGGTTCAGCTTCCCTCCAAAAGAAAGAGAAAGAGGTTCGGGTTGGTTTGGGGGGTTGAACCCTCCTCACAGCAATGCTTGAGATGATTGCCGTGTAAAAATTTGGCTGCTGTCCACCTTTCGTGTTGAAAACTCCCCTCCCCAAATGGAACTTCCAGGAGACTTTGTGAAACTTTTCTCCAGGAGCCCTCTTTGAGGTTCCATGCGGAAAGGAACATCGAGATGCAGCCTTCCAAAACGCGCTCAGCTGGTGCCGCGGCCCTTGCTCTAAGCTCGAAACATAACGCAAGGAAAAACAAAAAAAGGGGGGGGGGGGAAACGAGCGCTTCCTTCAAGGAATTCGCCGCTGGTGTCATTTTGTTCTTATTCCTGAGCTTCCTTAGAGCCGGAAGCGTTGAGAAACTTCGTTCCCAACTGTTTGCCTTCACTTAAGAACAAGCTGGTGTTTGGCCCAGTAAAATCAACGTCGGAAAGCGTCCCCCCCAAATAAATATGGCCCGAGATTTGAGTCACACTCAGAGGAACTGCTTGCCCTTCTCAGGCGCTAACCAAACCTGCTTTGTGCTTACGCATGCAGATTGGTTGCAAGTGGCCAAGTCCATCCTTGAAACAGCTCGCGCTGGCCAAAACCCGTAAGCACAGCGCACACATCCTGGACTTCGCGCAGGCATGGTTCATGTGTGGTACACGACAATTCCAGCTTGAACTTGCAGAGCAAGTTGGGCACTGACTGCGAACTAAACCCCCAACCTTTGCAGCTCCCATCGTCTTTCTGGTGGGACAGGAGCAACGGGGATGATCGAATATGGGTCTAGCTCAAAAACAGGGCAACCATGGAAACCCAAAATGGGTTGCCCTGGTAAATGGACAAGTAGACTAAAAGACTAAAACCTGTGGTCTCGCCCATAAACTTGGAGCCACAACCGGCCACCCCCTCGAAATACCCAGCCCTTTTTTCAGTTGGTATTATGTCGACCCTCCACCAAAAAAGGAGGTATTTACCATGGAAAACCGATCGGTTTCCCCAAAAATGCCCCGAACAAAAACTGGCATTTTGAGTAGGGGGTATGGCCAAAGGGAAGAGGGGTCCTTTTGAGGGATGCAAAAGGGGATTGGTGGCATCCAAGGTTGCATGTGAAACAGGTGCAAATGCGCATGATACCTCTCGTCGTCGGATGGCCCTCTCGTTGCAGCAAGAGCACTGAAAGAGTGCTCCTAGAGAGGACAACCACTGGTGAACCGCAGAGGCAGGGCATCTAAATGTTCTTCTCTCGAACACCTTGAAAGATCAAGGCCTCATCAGTTCTCAAAGCGGAGGGAGTTCTTCAAGAGGTATGCTGCGTTTTAGCCCCCTGCTGGAAAGCCCTGGAAAAAGCATGCACGCCATGGCTTGGACGACGTTGGAAGGGGAGCAAACATGTAAATGTTAGCAGTTGAGTGGGGATTTCAACCACTAAACCACAATAAGAAAAAGCGTAAAAAGTTCCCCAACAACAACCATGATGCCCTCTCATTCCTTCTCCCCTTCTCCTCTTCCTTCCCCTCTTGCAACCGCCGGGCGCAGCCGTAGCGCCGCTTCGTCAAGTAGTGGAAGACCTGGCAGGCTCCGATGGTCCAGCGCTTTGTCTGGTGGAACCACTCCTTGTACTCCTTGCCTCGCCGCCGGCTCCCGTTGGCGCACGAAGGGGTCGAGGGGCTGGGAGGTGACTGCTGGAACCTCATTGAACACGTGGCTGGCTGGGAGGCGACGGCTGGATTGGGGGGAATGTCATTGAACACGTGGCTAGCTGAAAAAGTCCGGTTCTGGATCCGGAAGATCATTCAAGGACCCGGAGATGAAATTGCCATTGGTTCGGCCTTTTGTCGAAAATGTGTTGGGCACGGCCTCGCACATCTTTTTTGCCGCGCCTGGGATGCCCTTTCTTCAGAAACCAACACTCTTTCGGTGGCTGATCTGCTTTTGTGGCCAGGGGGCCAATGCCCCTCCAAGCCACCACGCGTCAGGTCTGATCCTCGTGAAGGGCTTAAAGATTTGTTCTCCCTCGCATATATTGTAGCACACACGGTCCAAATTACTTGCTTCCCCGAGAGGGGCACGGGAATTCCTGACTCCCCTCGTTTTCTGGGAATTTCGAGTCCCTCTTGTTGTCGGGGAACATAGACTACCAGAGTTTCCTGACAGCTCACATAGTCTCCCCTAGGCTCCAAACAAATCCAAAGGCGATGTGGAGCGAATCAGTCTCCGAAGCGGACTTGGCCACCGGAACGCTCCGTCGGATTCCGCCAAAAGCGATCAGGGTTGTGGAATCACTGAGGGTTTATCCAAGCAGATCAGGAATCTCCCCCTTCGTATAGGGGGGTTAGTCCTTGGGAAGCCCGTTCTGTATCACAGAAGTGGTCATTTCCCACAACCCTGGTTCTCTTCCATTTGCTTAAGCATTTGTTTTATATTCCCTGAAAACGGCCGAGTATTTGGAGTACTTTTTGTATCACAGAAGTGGAGTCCATTTCATCCCCCACAGCCCTGAAATCGATCGGACATGGGGCCCCGGGCAGTGGGAGCTGCCGGAGGTCGGCCCCGAAATCACCGGCATGGGGATCATCCGAATCTCCACGCGCTTCCTTGGGTGCCATCTCTCAATGCGGGGGTCACGCCCCACGCGATTAGCTTGGTTGACGTTGGAAGGGAGCAAACATTCCGATTTTAGCTGTTGAGTGGATTTGGATTTCCACCACTCAACCGCAATCAGCAAAAATGACATGTGAAATGTGTCCCAACAACAACCAGGTTCAATTCTCGCAGTCATCACACTTACGCAAACGTTAACAATACACCGGCTGCAGAACAAAGATGAGTCACATGAGTCACATGTGCCATCCATGCGAAGTACACTTTTTCTTGGAATTGTGGAAGAGGATTGCAGCTCGTCTGACCGATTGGACCTCTGGTTCGGGGCCCCGGCAAGCGCAACTAGCTTTGAGGTCATCAGCAGACGTGTCAAAGGCTCCTTTCCATTCAGCAGACTGACCGCGTTTTATGGGAAAATGAACATGTCCTAGAACATGCCCGTGCTGACACAAAAACCAGCACCCAAAACCCATTGAGTTTTGGTGCTGCCATGGATATGAGATGTTACGAGCCTTAGTCTACAAACCAGGTGAGAACAACCTGCTAAAGTATATCACGTCTTTGGGGGTTTGGGGCTCTTTCTCGGACATGCAAAGCCCATGCTGAGCGTCTGCAGGGCCTGCATGCAGGTCTGGGTGTAGTGGATGTCATCCATCTGGTAGTGTGCGTGGAAAAACCTGGGGCCAGTTTTGCGGCGTCCATGCGTCCCACCCCAGTCTTGTGGGGCAAAAGAAGCCCCGCAAACTCGCAAACTGGCCCTGACGAACATGACTTGGGCCCTAAAATCGAAAACTCCTTCCGAAAATTGGGCTCCCTCAATGAGAACTGCCATGAAGGTTGTAGGCGCAGCCGGCTGCAGTTGTCACCGTCCAGAAGTGAGCGAAGGGTCCCTTGTCACAGCCCACGGGCACCCTCAGACCAAAACCATCTTCGCTTTAGTGCCTTTTCTAGGTGCTCCAGTAAAAAATATATAAGTAAGGGTACCCGTTTTTGTTTCTTCTTGTTTTTGTTCTTTCTCTCTGGTCTATTTTAGTAGGGGAACCCTCCCAACCAAAAAAGTGGGAGAGAAAGGGCACCTAGCTGGGGCACCTGCTCCAAACTCGGACTCAAGTTACATCAGCCAACGTGGTTCACTTCCCTCATGCCCTTCTTCGGTTCTTTTTTTTGGTCAATGACTCAGCGTCTTTAGAAGGTGTTGGCGAGCATCCTTTGGATCAGGTGACCCAGATCCAAGGTGACAGGTTGAAGGCGCACAAAGCTCTTGCTGGGACTCCGGGGCTTGGTGACAATGCCGGATTCATAGGGGGCCGGATTCTACAAGTGAGGAACCACTAAGTGCGGCGAAAAGGGCGACACCCTTCCCTTCCTCCATAAATCAACCAGGCGTTTCTTTTCCATCAGACGTCCCACTCTCTGATTCATCCGGGGTCAACCTTGGCAAGTGTCATTTGTGCAGGCGAAAGGTTCAGGGTTCACAAAGTGGCGTGGCATCATTCAAAGGTTTGAAGAAGTAGGAGGTCCGGCAACCAAGTTCTTAGTTTTTGGAGTAAAGCCTTGCGGCAGTCGCTGACTAGCCAAGAACCAGCGAGGTAGCCAAGAGGCTCGCCTTTGACGCACAGGTCCAGAGAGAAGCTAAAGATAGACATGGTGTTAATGTTGAAAGGGATCAGGAAGCCCAGCATGTAAGCGGTGCCTGGGATGCGCAGTGGGCGCCTCTCAAGCAAAATAGGGTGTTGCGGGATCCCAGTACAGTTCCTAGGTCCTCCAGTAGACAGGTTAGAATAAGGGTACCAACTATTTCTGTAGTCTATTTTAGTCGGGGAACCCTCCCCAAAAAAAAAGGTAAAAGGGCACCTAGCTGGGGGACCTAGGTTCTCAAGGAGAATGCCAACAACATACCCAAGCACCCCATGAAGTACACTAAGTAGATGACCTACCAGACCAGGAACACACCGAAAGAACAATGACAATAATGCCACTAAGAAAACAACAGCAACCACCCAAACAAACAACCAAGCAAATAGACAGACAAACATAGCAACAAACAAAAAAACAAACACTAAAAAAAAACAAAAACATACGAACATACAAACATACATACACACATACATACAACATACAAACATACAAACATACACACATACAAACATAC